GGTTATATATGGTTGGTTGTCGAAATTATGGTCACTTTTTGGGTACCCTAAATATTAGAGGCCGTATTATAATAGGGACCCAAAAAGGGACCATAATTTTGACAACCACCCATATAGCCCTTAAGAGGACCCCTAATATAGACTGTTACTGGGTGGGGGCAGTACCTCACGTGGAAGAGATGATTCAGGCTTGCCTGGTAGCTCCCGGAGTGCCTTCCCAAAGCTGGAGGTAGGCCTGGAAGGATGTGTACACCCCCTTTTCACACAAGCAAAAGCAGTACCAGTCCTAAAAGGAGCCACATATGAGAGCATGCAGCAAAGTTCACACCCTAAACCCTAAGTAGCAGTTTCCATTCTAGTTTTCCATTATACCCCTACAACCCCAATATACCCTAAACCCTATAACCCTAGTATTACCCCATTGGGGGTTATTCCGGCTGTGGAGTTTGAGGAAAGGCCGGCGAGCCAAAGAGCTCGATGCAAAGCATGTTTCACGCCAGGAAGGTCTGAGGCAAAGGGGGGTTTAGTGTTTAGGGCTCAGGGTTTAGGGGCTGTAGCGGCTTATACTGGGGTTGTATATTGGGATAATGGAAAAGAACATGGAACCTACCATATTATTACAGGGTTTAGGGCTTAGGGTTTAGCGGCTGTAGCTGCTTGTACTGCTTAGGCTTCACATATAACTAGATCATCCCCACATGTAGGGGTCGTAGAAGAAAGGCCGCAGCTCCCAAGCCTGCCCAAAGGATGCAGGCTATGAAGACTAAGACGTATGCTTGCACACATGCACACATTGTTCCCTTCCCTGATTCCATGCTGCACAACCCTGTGAAACGATAAGACAAGAGTAAGATAAGACGATAATCGAATTAACGGTCATCTAAATTGGTGGGGAGCTTTTCATCACCCCTTACGTGGGATCCTTAAGGAGAATATGAATGCTGTCATAAGATATGCGAGAAGCTTGCCAGCGCAACGGTCAGAAAAGCCTCCTCCGCAGGCGTAGGGCATAGCTAACTGTACATTGTATACGGGTGCCTTCAGCTTATGCTGAGTAGCTGATGGGGCGTTTTGAGGTCCGAGGCGCTCATGCGAAAGTGCGGTTGTCGGAAACGACAAGTTTCCACACATGGTTAAGTAGACTTCAATTCCCGTCTGATTCCCAATCCCAGCGTGCGCCCACCAAACTTTTCTACTTGCGAAAGCGAAGCTTCCCTGTACACGCTCAAGATTTAGGAGCTCAAATCAATCGGCGGGCGTCCGCGGTAGTCCAGATATTTCGGGGGGTCTGCATTAGTTTTAGCAGAATGGACAATGGGGCAACAAGTCGGAGAATTGGAAACCATGGATGTTGAACTGAAAGCTTCCCATTAAAGACCTGCAGTCAAAGGTCATTCCGGCAACCCAAAAAGAAACCGGGTTGTCGCGCGGTTTAGGGTTATGTCCAAGTTGGGATAAACAGATAAATCGACAATGCGTTAAATCGCCTTGAAGGGTTCCAAGGCATCACACAGTCGGGTAACCCAACCCCTATAGTCAGAACTTATAAGCACCGTATGATAGTCATAGGGCTCGCATTTTTGGGGGTCGGGTAACCCGAATCCCATGATTTTGAAGGCAATCCCCCTTTCTCTGAACTCTATAGGCACTAAACACCAGTCTGTCCCCTAAAGCCTAAACCGTGAACCCTATCAGCACACCAAAGCTGCCCGTCAGCCAGGCTCCGCGGCGGACCCAAGAGCAGTTTTCCGATGAGCAAAGGCACATAATCCCTTCCCACTGATTCAAACACCTCCACCCCCCTACTATCCTAAGCCCTATATGGGCCATAGGAATTCTGTTAGGGTTATATTGGGGTTATATGGGATGATGGAAAAGAAAATAGAAACTTTTACTTAGGATAATTACACATTCCCAATAGATTGTAGTATACCACAATGGGAACATTTAATATGAGGGGGGGCGGATTAGTGTGGATAGAGGAGATCCTGGTGCCACCCTTTCAAGGGGCTATGAATCGTAGCTGCAGTACTTTAAGAACATTCATTAGGTGGTGCAAGAGCTCCTCCATCAACGACAGAGAAAGTTTCTGCGGGTCTTCTGTCCAAAGTTGACAGCTCCAGACCCCGATAGCGATTGACATGTACCGTTGATGGTTACAATCTCTCGTAGAATAGCGGTTATAGATTTTGCAAGGGGGTCACTCGAGTATTCAAGCCACTAGCTCTTTCAGGCTCAGCTAGCTTAGATCAGTGAAGAAGCTGCGAAGTGGATTGTTTGTTGCCAAAGTGTGCATCAGCGTGCAGGACTGAGACTTCTAAAAGCATTGACCTGAATAGAGTCCCCTAAGCAGCCTTTTTGACCCCTCAGCAATTCCTCAGTCTCTGGCATCTTTCATGGGTGCACTTGGATTGAGAACCCTTGTTAGGGATCCTTGTTTGCAAATTAACCCGGGTCCGAAGTTAAGACCATCCAGTATTCCGCGCTCTCTTCATGCCTTCGCTATGCTGGCAGCTATTTCTGGGGTTTTACCAACTCAAGGTATCTTGCACACTGTCATCCATGCACATCGTCCCGCTAAGCGCATGTGTGCGTAAGCAGTCGTTAATGCCTGCAGGGTCCACGGTCTCGAGCGGCCTCGTCCAACCAAGCATGCCTTCAAATGATAGATCGCCATTTGCGTTATTGACGCAGTTGGCGTGGTTGCTTGTTGGTCCCTCAGATGCCGAACCCGCATCATCGCATCCTTGGCTTCAGGAAGCTAAGACACGGGTAAACTTGGGCACGTCTCGCTTGTAGTATAAGGGGCAGCTGATGCAGTATTTGGGAGCTAACGCAAGGCTTGGCAGCTGCATTCCATAGACCAGCAACTGTACATCCACTACGGCTCCATAAAGTCTTTTGGAAGTGCGCTCAGCTGCTGACGCGCTGAGCGCAGACATCGACGCCATGACGCGAAAGAGGTCAGGAGGAGCTGCCCTCGCAATCGCAGCAGGGCCAGTTGCACCAGGGGGCACAATACGTGCGGGTGTGCACGCGCCTATTCGTGCTGGAGGACTGGCACCAGTAAAAGCTATTCACATTCCTCCGGTACGCGGCGGAGGGCAAGCACTGCCATCACCCATACGTGCGGGAGGACAGGCGCCCATGCGTGGACATGCAGCAACGCGCTCTGCAGCGAGAATGCAAGACGTGCCTGTGTGGGAAGAGTTCGAAGATGTAGCAGGGCAGTTGCACGGCAGTGTGCTCGACTTGTCCGTGTCCACGGCCGATCTACTGAAGGTTTGGCAGGAGGTCTTGCGCCATCGTCACCGTTGGCAGCAACTCGATGAAGACGGCCGACTCGAGTGGCCTCAAGCTCCTGGGGCAGGGGATGGACGCTCAGAAGTCCAACCTGGAACCTGTACAGCATTTCATGCATTCCACTGAAAGAGCGTGAACCAAATAGTCCTTTGATTCTTCAAGTGAGCCGGGACAAAACCCGGTAATTGGGTTTCATATGGAGCTGACACAATTCATCGGCCTGTGCCACATCGTGGGAAAACGATAAGAGTAAGAAAACGATAACGTAGTTATTTTGCATATGGACCCCAAGCACTTTTGGAGCCTGCTCTATTCAGGATCTCAACAGAGTGCAGGCATGCGCAGGGCCTCTGCTGAGATGCATTAAGTATTTAGTGAAATAGACTTAAAATCACATTCCATCAAGAACCAGTTGAAATCAAAGTAAGTTCGAGTTAACATCGGTTTAAAACTCAAGTAAAACCGTTTAAAATCAATTGAAATCGAATGAGAACTCTAGTAAATAACTTGAAACCGAATGAAAGTCCCCTCAGCATCCATTGACATCTAGTTTGGATTCCTTGTAAAAATTAAGTGAAATCGAATTAAAAGCAATTTCCAAATTGATTGGAAGTTTAATCAAGATTCCACTTGGAAACAATTGAAATCAAAATAAATTCCAATGAACACCTATTGAAATCGAATTAACATCCAATTGAAACCATTGGAATGGAAAGTAAACCAATTCAAAAACAATTGCAATCAAATTAGCATTCGATTATAAAGCATCAGATTAAAATTCTATTAAGAATCAATTGAGATCAAATTAGAATCCAACGAAAAAGAATTAAAATCGAATTTACACATATTTAAAAATCAGTTGACATCGAATGAAATCGGCTAAACTGGTAATAACATCACCTTGATTAAGTAGACTCCATGGACACGGAACAATGAATCATGCATTTATTGAAATCGAATTAAGATCCATTACATTCGAGTTCAAATCATTCTAAGCCTAACTAAGTTCCAATTGAAATCCAATTAAAAGTCTATCAAAAACCAATTGAAATGGAATAGATTCCCGTTAAAACCAATTAAGATCAAATCCAAATTCCTTGAAAAGAAAATTGAAACCGACTTAAAACCCAATGAAACCATTGAAATCGAATTAAAATTCCAGTAAAAATCAATTGAATTGAAATCGAATTAATATTCCATTAACAATCAATTGAAATCGAATTCAGTTCGCAGAAAAACCAACCAAAACGTACGGAAATCTAAGAAAGATTCGATTAAAACCAAATGAAATCGAAGGAAAACCAATTGAGACTCAATTACATACAGCTAAAATGGTAATAACCTAGAAAATCAAGGGGATCAAAATCAAGGGGATCCCTATCCCTTTATTTCTGGTTATATACCCTAATGACCTCAAAGCCCCGCCAAATTCATTATTAGGTGGCCCCGTTTAAAAGTAGCCTTCCCCTTTTGAAAGTAGTCTTCTGGATCTTTAGGCACTTGATTTTTGTTTAGTATTAGGGGGTGTTTTGATATTAGGGGGAAGAGATTAGATCTTCTAGCCTACTGTAGCCGAAGCCTGTAATTATCCACCCCAAGGCCCTTTGTTCTCACATGTGTGTTATTGGATGGGAAAAAACGATAAGTAAAAAACGATAAAGTCTTGAATTGGATAGAAGGCCGGCCCCCAGGTTTTGGGCGCGGCTCAAGTGAACCAAGGATATGAACAGGTGCCGGCGGCATGGGCCGGGCGTCATTTGTCACCTGCGCCACCTGCAGGGAATGGACGCGCACGTGAGTTTTCCCAGCCTCCAGCAGATGACCTTGGTGCAAATGAAAACTGGAAAGGTAGGCTCCAGCAGGCGTATACCAAGCAGTTGCGAGTCGGCACCTTGCAGAAGGACGAGATTGCTTACACAGTAGAGCCAGATGGACCTGGCTTCATCGCAACTGTGCAAGCACCTGGGTTGAGCTCCACCTTCACGGGTGAAGTGTGCACCTCCAAGAAGCAAGCAGAACATTCGGCAGCAATGGCCGCCATTTGCTCGGACTTCCCAGGCTATGCAGAGCCCACTCCCATACCAAAGCCCTCGCGTGCCCCCCCAAGCGGCAAGGGTCCTGGACCCGCCGCTCCCGAACCAATGCACCCCAAGAGCGTGTTGAACGGGCTGCTAAAGCTTGTGGTGGGCAAAGAGATCACCAGGGAGGACATCGAGTACCAGGTCGAAGCGTTGGAGGAGGGCGACCAGCCGCCGGCCTGGGTCTGCAACGTCCGCTTAGCATCACGACTTGAAAGTCTCGATCGAGTGTTTTGTTTGAGCTCTTACTGTACCGACGGCTCCAAGAGAAACCCCCAGACCCATGTCATCAGAACCAGAACCGCAAAACCAGTCTGACTTGCCCTCTGAAGTCTGACTCTGAATGATCTCAGGTGGCCTACAACGACCATGTCTTTCAGGGAGAAACGGTGCATAGCAGGAAATTGGCGGAGCAAAGTGCTGCAGAGGCGGTTGCTTCGTGTCATGCGACTTAGGGAGCTTAGATGTAGCGTTCAAAGCATCCGGAATGTCCAGGGTTCACAGTAGAGACTAGAGGTCTGTCAGAGAATCTTACCCATGTCATGCCCTGACATACACCAAAGCCTGGCCCCATGGACCCTAGAGTGGGAGCCTTCCTTGCTTATGGCCTTGATACTGAAACCTTCTCCTTTGAAAGCTACAGGATTCATGGCACTGTATGTTGGAGAAGAGGAATAATGTGGAACTGCCAGCATCCTTGGGTGCATGTTCAACGGCAAGCTGTAGAGCCGCAAGGGAATGGGATGATCCAGGCCCTCAAGGGCTGTGTGAACGTGGATTACGAGCCGTCCCTATGTACCTGGGGACAGCCCAGGCTAAACACGTTTAAGCGAATGTGAGGGCCCTACCTTCCGGAAGCTGGAAGAGGTAGTTTCCCAAAATAGGGGGACCCCATACCGACCCCACATTACTATGGTCTTTCTTATAGGGGCCCCCAAAGATTACCCTCAAATTTGGTAAGCCCCCATGTACTCAAGATCTGGCACAAGCACCATCCGAGCCTTCAAACCGGAAGAGCATCCAGCATGGGGTCTAGGGCTTAGGGTTTGCATTTCTCCCTCATCTACAGGCGGCAATTGCCTTTCTCGAAGAGGAAATCGATGCCTTGGGGGTTGAGCGCCCGATGAAGATCTTCGGCTGAAGATTCCGTGCGTGGGAGGATGTACTGATACAACTTGCGTAGGGTCCGCGTGGATGGCATGAGAACATGTGTAAGACGAACCGATGTCTACATGGCCTTTGATACAATTTGCTTCTAGGATACTGCAATACATAATCTGCAAGTCATACCCGTCTTGGCAACAACCAAAAGGTTGTTTCCCAAAATAGGGGGACCCTTCTGGACTCCAAAATATTATAGACCCTCAAATCACGGAGGTGGCTCAAGTCCTATAGGTGGGAGGTGCCCGTCAAGGCCTAAGTGCAATTCGGGAGCACACATCTGGCGGCATTGCCGAAGGTTTGCCAAATGGTAGTTCCCTAAATAGGGGACCCAAATATAGACAAAGTATGATCTCTATTATAGGGACTCCCAAAAGCAACCCCTAATTAGGGGAAACCCCCAAATCACCACGATGGTCTGGCCTTGCCTGACCTTGCAGGCCTCCCCTAAGAATGGTGACGGAACTGAAACAGAAAATGGAAAACTACATGAGAACTGGGCTTAGATCTTTTCCCAGTAAGCCTTGCAAGGTTTAGCCTGCTTGGAGGGTCAGGGGGACTTAGAAAGTAGGTTGATAAGAGGATAGCTGGGGTTCCTATATGGGTTAATTATAGGGGTTGTTAACCTACTTAATGAGTCCCCCTGACCCTCCAAGTAAGTACTGCCTTTGAGCACCTCCGTGTGTGGATGGATAGCGCCACGACCTGCGGCAAGGGTTCGTGGTGTAGTTTGAGGCAGATTGCTATGGTGCCTGGGCCAGGTATTCAGTACATAGCCGAAGGTTCGGCAAATATGCTGCCCAAGAGTTCAGCAGAACCTGATGGAGTTCTGTGTTGGGCGATTTGGAGTGAGAATCGTACATCAGGCACAAACTGTTTCGCTACTAAGACGCTAAGCGGTAGTTTCCCAAAACAGTTTAAATGGGGGGATCCCAATGTAAACCCCCAAATATCAAATATTATAATCCTCAGTAAAGGTACCGCCAAGAAGGGACCCATCATCTTGGGAAACCCCCCCAAAATCCCAGTTTGGGTCGGCATGACTTCAGTCCCAGGATTTTTATTTCAGGAGCTCAAACTCGCTTCTGGGGCAAAGCCTCCAATCCAGAAGCCTGCTCAGGAAACTGGGTTGCTGGTAAGGAACCTAAATTAAAGCTTCCAGAGTGGGTGTATAAAGTAAATGACAGGGTTCCCTAACTTTGGTAACTTATAGTCCACCGTCAGTAGATAGAAGATGGAGTATATGGGGATCTTATTATGGTTTACCCAAAGCCATATTCTATCTACTTAAGGGGGACTATAATTTCAAGTTCTTTGACATCAGCCCAGGAAAAGGAGGGCCCGTGGTCCGAGGAGGTAGGGCTGGACGACTAGCGACACTTGCCTGCATGAGGGCACGTAGACGCATCCTGCATGTTGCCGGCCTAGACCTACACTACATTGGGGTTATGTGGGGATAATAGAAAAGAAATGGAAACTACTATAGTGTATTAGGGTTATATGAGGCTAAGGGGATAATGGACAAGAAAATGGAAACTACTTAAGTTTATTGGGGTAATTTAGGGGATAATGGAGAATAGAAGGGAAACTACTATACTCCTTCGGGTAGTTGGTTTAAACCTATGCATCAAAGACACAGCATAATCCTTATCGCAAGGCTCCAGAGACAAATCTATAAGTTTGAAGATTCCTACACTTTGCCTCATTCCAGTTTTTCCCAACATGCAGCGGGTATACTGTGCATCATGCCACGTCAAACAAAGTCCATAGTATGGAGAATTTTCCACATGCACATAGCTGAGCACTGGCCCCAAATTGCCTATGCTTGTTCAGGATTTAGAGGGCTGAGAACCAGGGACAAGCACCTCATGTCATGGTGCCTTAGCATGGTGGCTCTTTGCGCAGTGAGGGATTTGGGGGATGTGATAAGGTCATTGGAGGATACATAATGATTATTGGTTGGAAACACTAAACCCTAAGCAGTGGTTTTCATTTTCTTTTCCATTATCCCTATAGAACCCCTATATAAACCCTATATAATATAGTATTTTCCATTTAACTTCCATTATCCCAACATATTGGATTTTGGGCCTTCGGGTTTGCCCAACAATCACCGTCCTTGCTTCACCTGTTCTTTGCGCAGGGAGAGACCCGATACATCTGACACCTTTCAGGAAAATTGAGCCGCTTTTTTTTTAGCAGCTCCCTGGCAAGTGTATTTTGCTGCCCAGCAAGGTGACGTCGAACAGCACAACCCTCAGAAAGCTTGGCAGAACATGATCCGGCATTTTAGGTTAAGTGTCAAATGAAAGCTCCGGTTGAACAGAAGCACCCGAACGCGCTGCCTTCTCATGGTCCAACGTGTGCGGCCAGTCTGTTATGACGTATGCGCCAGTAAACTTTGATCCTTCGCAGCAGATCAAAACGGTAGCAGTAGCAGCAAGCAGCCATGAACAATGAGGCTGACCGCACTCATGTCTCAACACTCCTCCACAAATGGCAGGGCTTTATGGCCTACTCTATATGCCACCCTATTAGGACAATCTCACATGCAATAACACGGGCTGCGAAAAGGCCGAGAAGATGATGCTTGGGAGTGTGAGTTCAGATTAAGTTCAGATCGCTTGTCAGAGTTATCCATTGTTGATGGTCTCTGCTAACCGGGCCGGAACACTCTTAGACACCCATCCCTTGCTATTATCATACCCTGGATGCAAAATTGTAGTGCTGACTGGGTTGTAGAGTTCAGGGCTTAGGGTTCGAGAGTTTGGAGTGCAGAGGCCCAAGTAGGCCCAAGTATTTAAAGAATTGAAAACTCAAATGCAAAAAGGTAGATGAAACGGAGGCTTGCTTTACTCGGGGCTTGAAGGACTGGTAACGTAGAGGCTTGAATCGTTTCGTTGGAACAGGCTTTGGGTATATGCTTTTTTTTTGCAATTGGTTCGTCGACCCCAACCTTGCGTGGCATATATATATATATACATATACACATACATGTGTATATATATATATACATACATATGCAGGTTCCCTTTCGAAGGGGGTTATAGGGGTTATGTAGTCATTTGGGGTATAGATGGATTTTGGGTGTTGTAGGGTTAGGGTTTTTCCAAAATTAGGGCTACGCTTGTCACGCAATCTCTCCTGAGTTTGGCCTGCGACGAGTTGACGTCCGTGTGTCACTGTGGCCGTGTTCCTATCCCACTGTATGTGTTAATCCCCTCACCCTTATTTTAAACCCCCTACCCCGTGATATTGAATACCCCCATCGCGGTATTAAAATATACTGGGAATGTTTAATAGAAGAGGAGTTGGGGCGGGGTTAATATCAACTAAACCCTAAACCCTCCAAACCTAATAATACTTGGAGGGTCAGGGTGATTTAGTAAGTAGGTTAATAACGGAGATCACTGGGGTTACTATATGGGTTATGGAGGTTATTAATCTACTTACTACGTCCCCTGACCCTCCAAGTAACCCTATATATTGGGTCATTCCCCCTTGCAGTAACTGTTACCACAATGGTTTATAGGAGTTATGAGAACCCCCTAAATAAGGCCCCTTTAAGGACAGTTACTGGGAGGGGGGATGACCTAACCTATATACCCCTTTAAGGTTCGTTGTCTCAAAAACATAATCTTGGTGTTAGTCCAGGACTAACCTTGGGGGAGGCTGCGGTGACGTATCGTCCCCCTTAAGTAGATAGAATATGACATATAGTATAGATTATGAGGGTTATACTGGGATGGTGAAAAAGAAAATGGAAACTAGTATTTAGGGTTTGATAATGGAAAAGGAAATGCAAGCTACTATTTAGGGTTCAGGGTCCCCCTTAAGTAGATAGAATATGGCTTTGGGTATATTTAAATAAGATCCCAATATACGCCATATTCTATCTACTTACGGGGGACTATAAGGCAACTGTCAAAAAAAGCTTTGCCCTTGGTGCACCCAACTTAGATGCTACCACCTAGGGACATGGCAACTTATTCAAACCGAGTAGGCCTCTGCTAGTCCAAGACTAATGTCTAAGCGGTCGCTACCTGCTTCAGATGCATCCCGGACTCTGGCAAACTTTCAACAAGCCATGTCGTGGGTTTTCAAAACTGTGTTCGGTTCTGGGGGCTTTGCAAACAAGTCATGGTTCTTTGTCGGGGTCCTCTGCATAGCCTGACGCCCAAAATGCAGAGTCCGCAAAATTTGTTTCGACAACCCACGCATGTATCGTAGCTCATTGGCTGCTCTGCATGAATGTCCTGTATCCATGGTATCTCTATTTTGAGGAGCCCTATAT